CAATTTCACCGATTAATAAGTGATAAATGATTAGTGTGAATAAAACGATTTGGAGTGTAAGATATTGGATAATTGGTTATGTATTAGGATTAGAATCAGAAAGTGTGTATATAGTATATTAGATCATGCAAAAGAATAATAAAAATAAAATACATATAATTAAATAAATAAGGTTTTTTATTACAAATTTTTATGCGAAATTAGACTTTTATTAATTTTATAAATATTTTACATTTTAAATATTAATTCTAAGTTTTAAACCAATGAGTAAATAAGTGGGTGGTTGTTTTTAACTAACGGTGAGTTTGAAACTTCGTCTTCCCAATTTACTTCTTCCAAAATTCCATCTTCAGCATTCTTACTGCCAGCAGAAGTCCATGAATCGACGGTATCTGCTGAAGTTTCACTCTACATGTCTTCTTCGTCAGTATTGTAACGACTACTCAGGGGCATACCGCCAGTAAAATTAAAAGCTAGTGGTGGTTCAGCATTACTACTCGCATGTCGAGATGCCCGAGTAGCTGCTTCTTTACGTAAATTTTGTGACATTTTTGAAGTAGTTATGAGTAAAAATACATAAATTAAATTTTAAATAATTGATTCGAATAATTTTATTGCTCAGGGAGTGGTTGGTTTTAGCTAGAAAGTAGAATAGTCAGTCAGTTTAATTCCTATAAAAGTGTATATACAAGATCTCAAACCTACCATGAATTAGACCCGGCTATAAATCATGAAATTCTTTTAAATATAAAGTTGTAGTGTCTTAAATTTTTTTTTACAAAAAAAATTTCGAATGTGTACATATTAAACCTGGAATCTACTAAAAGGTGAAATGAAACAGACTTGAGTCTTGTATACAGTAAATTCTCTTTATACCGAATCTCTCTATAATGAAAAGTATGGTTTCTTAAAAAAACAGTAATTTTATATAGCGAACTTGTTTTAACAGCCAGAACCAACAGTTCGTTATATATACGCACTACATATATTATTTGTTATACGTATATACATATATATACTATAATTAGTATATATGTATAATAACTGATCCGATTTGTGATTAGCTAAGTATTTGATATCAAGTTTGTATTTGATTATGCCGAGCACTAAGTACAACTAGCTGGGATGTAATGACTTAGTGAAGTGATGAAGTTGTTGCACTTCTAAGTGACAGGATCAGAGTTCAAATTCTACTAATAACAAAAATTCGAATTCTAGAATATATTATAGCAAACTGTGAGTGTAATCGAATAGATTGGTATCTGTAATTTGGTCATACCAGCTTATATTAAGAGGCTGTAAAACAATAGTATAACATATAAGTTATACAAAACCTGAGTGAAATGGCTGTGTAAATCTAGAGTAAGCATACATAGAAGCCTATTTAGCAAGATCCAAATAGAGAGGTAGTACAGATCTTTAATAATACTATGTAAAAGATTATTAACCAGAAAATTGGAAAACTAAACGGGACTGAAGTGTTTGGCAAGGCACTCCACCAACCTGGCCGCTAAAGAATAACTGGAGAAAAAGGATTTAACTATAAAACTAAGTGTAGATTATAGCTCTTTTAAGCCATCTAGATTAGAAGTTTGGGGTAATAGATGTATAGTGAATAGTTTGTATAATGGGTCCTAGAGTTTGTGCAAACTTTATAAAGGTGGTAGTAGATAACTGTAGCACCTTAGCTCACAAGTACTTGTTTTCAGACTCAATATAAGTTACTAAAGAAGACTAGATAATATAGTAATAGTGAATATCGGACTGCTTTAGCAGGTAATCACTTGAAAATGAATCAGTTAACTATATTAGTAGTCCTATAGGTGGACATGTGATGATCTTGGAACTTGGACTGACTTATATATTGCATATTTTAGGTGAAATTAGATGGATTGATATAAAAAACTCAGATCAAAGGATTTAATTAGATAATTTAAATAATAGTGTATTATAGGTACTGTTAACCTCTGTAGTTAATCATATATAACAAAAATAACCGCAATATAATACTAATACAAGAAACAATGTAATAGCACTAGTAGCACTAGTAGCGCTAAATAGCACTAGTAGTGCTAAGTAGCACTAGCAGTACTAAAAGGTCTCTCTAAGTTTAGTGATTCTAGTAAATTTGTAATTTGTAAAAATATTAACAGAGAGTGATAGTTTAAAAGATATAAATTGACTTAGATATTTCTCTTGTAAGAGACAGAACTCGAAGTTCCAACAACTTGATAATAAATAAAGAGTAAATCGTGTCTTTATATAGGACCCTCACAGCAAAAGGAGGCAGTGGGCGGACCAATCAGATTTTGAGATTTTGTATCGATCACTTGCTTAAGGGTCTTGCCTTTATAAGAATATATTTTTTTTGCTAAATATATTAGTAAAATAAATACAAATTTAATTTTTTTTCTTTGTTACCGTTATGGTAAAAATCGATTTACATAAGTACGTATGTACCACATAATTATCCGTACAATGATTTACAATATTGCAGTTGTATACCGCATATTTTTTTTTACAGTTTTAAGCATATATCACGTCTTTTAAATGCTATAATAACTATCTATTTATAGACATAAATGCTATAGAATTTATACTCGAACTTGTAAAAACAAGATAATTTGGGTGATGATAAAGTATGTACGTACATACATACTTACGTACAGTACATACATATATACGTACATACAATACATACATATATAATTATACGGGTATAAAGAATGTAAATTCAAAAAATTTTTATTAGGTTTTTTTATCTTAAAGGCATGGAATATAATATACGTTCCAATGATGATAGTATAAATAAAGACATTTTAGCTGCGTTAAAAGATTTAGATGATACTTTTTTTGTTGATTATTTAGATTCTGAAGACGAAGAATCTAACTTTGTATTAGACAAAGAATCAGTATCTGATGATGATATTCCTTTAAATAAATTAAATGAATTTAGCTTTGTAGATATTCCCAACAATTTTATTGAAGATAAAATCTATGATGATTTAAAATTAAAAATTAAAAAATTTTTTGATAAAGCCAGTATTCATGTCATTCTAAACAGTCTTGTTTTGAGAAAATTGGGTATGAAAAATTTCTTGCGCGTCGAGCTGAATTTGAAAGTTTAGAGAAAAATATGCGAGATTTGGTTATTAAGGGGTAGCTTATAGCCTTTCAAAAAAATGAAAGTACAGATAAGGTTACTAACGAAGATAGAAAAAATTTGCATTTTGGATATTGTTATAATCATGATACTCCAATATGTCTTGATACATATTTAACTCTTGTTGGAGTTAGCCGTAAATATTTAAATAATATCAAACAGCATTTACAAGAGCACGGTCTTGAAGAACGTATACATGGCAATACTGGCAGAGCTCTAAAGAATATGAATCACATTGAGGTTAATTATAATTTAGCGTGTGATATATTTAAGTTTTTAAAAAACTATTCAAACATTCATGGTATGCCCTCACCTGAACGTCATTGTAACAAAATTACTATACCAACTGTGTTTCTTCCAACTAGTTTTAGTTATGCATCAGTGTATCGCGACTATATACAGGCTTATAAAGATAGGTATAGAAACGATACTCGTGTTTTAGCAGAATTCACCTTTACTAATATCTGGAAATCTTTAATGCCTTCACTTCAATTTATGTCCTCGAAAACTGATCTATATGAAACATGTGAAATAATGAAAATGGACATTCGACATACTACACAACATGAAAAAAATTAGAGCTTACGAATAGTTATTTAGCTCACTTAAATCGTGCACAAAAAGAACGCGATTATTATAATGCTAACATTATAAAGGTGGTTGAAGATGGCAAGCATAATCCAAATATAGTCGAATCTCAAATATTATTCAAAAGTTTTAATGGTAGTGCTCATATTGCGTATGATTGGGCCCAAATGTGCAGATACCTCACTCACCACAACAAATAGGATCTTTGTATTTTAAAAGTGCTCAGAAAGTACAATTATTTGGTGTTTGTAACACTGGTAATTTTCCATATATGCAATAAACAAATTATCTAATTGATGAAGCTGAAATTCCTGACGATGATAAGCAAGGTAAAGGCGTAAATTGCACTTCGAGTTTGGTTTGGTATGCAATTCATAAATACAATTGTGGGGAAAAAAAATTAGTTATTACATGTAATAACTGTATAGGTCAAAATAAGAATAATTTTTCATTATTTTTTTATTCATAATTAATTGATCGTAATATGTATGATGAAGTTGAGCTAAATTTTATGATACTGGGACACACTAAATTTATCTGCGACAGTTGTTTTGGTCTAATCAAAATTCTCTACAGAAAAAGTAAGGTTAATACTGTAGATGATGTGGTCTCAATTGTTAATCGTTCTACATGAATTAATTTCAATGTTGCTCAGTATTATCTTAATGGAGAAGGCTTCCAATATTACAATTTTAAAAATTACTTTCAAGTATTTAAGAAATTACCTCATATTCAGAAGTACTATCATTTTTATTTTACTTCACAACACCCTGGAATCGTTTTTTATAAAGATGACCTTCAAGATAATTATGAAAGTTTTACAATTCGTCCTTTTTCATTTAATGCTGATACCTCACCCCCTATGATTAATGTCAAAGCTCTTTCTCTAAAAAGACAAGAAGAATTGTTTAAAGAAATTGCACCCTATATTGATTTACCTTTTCACCACATCACTTGCCCTGAACCAAAAATTCTGAGTAAAAAATAAGCTAAAAATTTTTTCATAGCGACAGGTTCATGTTGAATTTAGCATAAACAAGGTTTATGTTGAATTTAGTATAAACAAGTTCTCAGGGTTCAGTTTATGATAATTTGGTGTAAAACAGGTTTGATTTTTTCACTTTCAGCAAAGAATAAATCAAATAAAGTTAAAAAGTGGAATCTGGAATCAACTTGATCGTCAAACTAAAAATTTCAAGAAAAATTAAGTATATAACTGGTGGCAAAATTTTTTTTTACGTTTCTCAATAAATAAATAATAAATAAATAAATAAGCATTTATTTATTTTAAATATAATAATAAGTAACGGATAACGATAATGATAACGTTAAATAACTTAAATTAAAAAAATCAAGGATCGAATTTATCAAACAAAAATCAAGAATTGAATTTATCAAACAAAAAAAAAATAACGATAGCAAAAAAAAAAAAATACAATATTAAATAAGCGAAGGTGCGAAGAATAATAAAGTTATACTTTACATATTATAAAAAAAAATTCTTTATCGATAGCGATAGTAATAGAGCCAAAAACTAAGAAATCGGTTATAAATCACATAACAATTTTCAAATGCGATTTTCTCAAAATCAGATGATCATCCCACTGCCTCCTTTTGCTGTGGGAGATCCCATATATGAACAACTCAAATACTTTATTAAATAAATCATACAATTCTCTACAAGTGTGATCGTGTCTTTATACATAAGATTGCTTGAATAAACCCTATCTCGGTTATAGTATCTTATATATGAATAACTTTGAGTATAAATCATAACTTGTCTATATGCCTATTTGTATCTTCATATACAATTAGCTGTTTGCCTCTTTCATAATAGCAAATCACTCAATTTTCTTAATAGCGTAACTATACTAAACACATACTTTACTTAGCATAAATCAGCATTTCGCTATTAACTTACTTAACCTAACCATTGCTATAGTAAAATATTATACCAGACTCTTAAGAGGTAGTTCTGAGTATAATATTTGGTGGTGACTGTAAGATACAGCTCAACCTATATTTATTATCAAAAGAGTGAAACTATAGGAAATTGTAATGAAATTGTTAGTTTAATGTATTAAAATGTAAAACAACTAGAATAATACTTATTAGTCAAAATATATTGCTACGAAAACTCATATAAGAGCTAAGTAAAGCAGAAAATCTGAGTTAGTAAAAAGGATAGATACATAAGGCAATTAGAACTAAAATGTAAGAAATTACTAACACCACTTATCTCGGAAGAGTTAAACAAAGTTCAAAGTATAATCGACAAAGTTTAAGGATATGAGTCTATTGACAATGCACAGATTCCACAAGCTCTGAAATTGATGTTGAAGATTTTGGAAGACTTTACAAATGAAAGGAGAGAAGTTGAAATACCATCAATCATATATCTATCTACGTATATAGAATTATCATCGACATCATATAAATCAAATCACAGATCCCCTTATCCAGAATCTACTGAAGTAAAATATGCCAACAAGACCACCTCTAAACACTGGTATCAGGAAGAAATCGAAGTTAAACAGGATGCATATCAGGAGTTTATAAACTACCAACTATTGGCAGCCAACATAAAACAAGTTAATAGTATATATATGCTTGAATGCACTTATAATAATGAAAATGAAGCTAACAAGGACCACAAATATAAAACATATACCAATAATGTTAGGAACCTTGAAACTGATGGCGAAGATAATATATTAGATGAAGAGGAAAGCTTAGAACAAGATTCCAATAGTTGAAAGTTCCTCAAAACAGAAGCTAATAGAAAATAAATAAAATTTATTCAGATACTAAGGGCAATGATAGTAAAAATAATAAAGATCAAACAGCTGATAGTAATAATAAGGGACTAAACCAACCTGAATCTTGTAAAAATAAAACTAGAATTGAAAAGTACAAGCACTTCTATTGTCAAGAGTCTGCAGAGATGGATTATGCTAATAGAATAAATAATGTGGTTATTATGATGACAATGAAAACAGAATCGATGAAGTAAAAGGAGATGATGAAAAAACATAGCTAATAGCTATGATCAAGATGGAATAGGGACTAAAATAGATGAGTGGAAGACATTCGGTTGCTATCAAAAGTCTGCTGAAGATGAATCAAAAATGGTTGAACAGTACCTGGGTTGTGCTGACGATTACGATTTGAATGAGCAATCGACCTTAGATTTCACTATTGAGATGAAACTAGTTTTGAAAAGAATGGACATGAGACTTTGCAAGAATCTGAAGCGATGGATAATCCAAATGAAAGTAGCGATCCTGAAGATTGTTGCTTGCTTGAAAGTGGAGTTGGAAAAGAACAATATAAAGTATGCATCTCTGACCAAAAGTCTGTTAAAGAAGGACCATACAATTCTGAACCCCATTGTCAGAATGACAATTACACTGCTAAAAATGAACCCAAGGCATCTGAATGGTATTCAAAGACTATTGAAAATGAAAACCCAAATAGCCAAAATGATCTTGGTTTGTGCTATTGAAGTAAAACTAAATTTGAAATAGACAAATATAAGGTGCCCATTCATTATACAACAGTTGCTAGGACGGAAAACAATAAAGAACTGTTTCAGGTCAGTTATTGCTATAAAGATAGAACTGGTATTGAACTAAATAGAATAAGGTCACCAAAATTAATGGATATTATAACGAAAATAATGGAATATTAAAAAGAAAATGAATATCGATATCGGGAAAAGAGCAAGAAAATTCATTAGTAAAGTGGAAAGAGTATTAAACAAAAACAAAGTCAAAATGCAAATACTTACAGAACCTCTGAAAACTATATGTGATATCTGGAATAAAAAGGTCAAAGAGTTTAGAACAATAATTAGCGAAGATGAAATATCAAAGAAAGTATCGACTTACCAAGATAACCCAGGAAGAATTGAGAATGGTATGGTAAAAGAATTTACCAAAACTACTGACCCACCTTTCTGAAAAAATGGAAAAAGAAGTCTGAGTCCAAATATACTAATAATCACAGTAAAAGTCTGGATTCTTTTATATAAAACTGGATCTATAGATAGAAGAACAAATTGGAGAAGCCAAGACATTAATATGAAAGAATGCAAACCCCTATTTTTTTATTAGATAGGGCCAAGAATATTTGATCCTGGAGGAGAAAGCATTATTAACTTACAAATCTTATTATTAGTCAAAAAAAAAAAGATCATCACCTGACCTCAAAACATCTATTGTAAAGAAGGTTCAGTTAATAATAGTCATATTACACTATGTAAGGTTCAATCTGCAATAATTCATTGTGAAGCCTATTATAAAACCATCAAAATATATATATATATATATATATAGTAATACACTTGCATTTATACTAAAATTGTTAAAGAACTATATAATTTATATAATGAAGAAAGATCAAAAGACAAAAGTTTAGAACAAAGATTTAATTTAACACCTTAGAACAATTTTTAGCAAAAAAAAGAACCAAAATCCAGATAATGTAATTAAATGGTGTTTAAAAAATCAAATCAATCTTATAGCTCATGGATATTGTTATAAGCATGATAAATAGATAAACGTAAGTAAGGCATTATTTATTATTAAAAATCTGCAGAAATGGGGAATACTACTGGAATATCAACAGTAGCAATATAATATCAAAGTAGAAAATCATGAGGGATTTAGATAAGGCCAAATACTGATATCAAAGAAGACAAATATTGGTTTAGTTGTCATATAAGTTATATAATGCTACTGACGAAAAGAAAGACTTTGAAGAAACTAGAATACGAAAAAATCTCCAGAATATCTACTTGAAAAGGATCTAACTCACATCGTCTTTCAACCCACATAATATTATTCAACAATAATTGTGTCTCAGCACACCTCAAATTTGATAAAAAGAAAAATCATATTAATTAGCATTGTTAAGTCCTCACTCAATTAGTTTGTTATCAGCTTGAATTTTGTAACAAATATTTTGTAACTCACCTAAATAATAATTAGACATTACCATTATTACCAATACAAAAAGAAAGGGCAGCCAACTTGCATGAAGAATTAATACAGTTTAGAATTGTATTTCTATATTTCTGTTCTTGTGAGAGTCTAACCTAGAAATGTTTTAGCTATAGTACAGTAGGTATTTAATGCCGTGATTTAACAACCATTGTATGGGTCTCTCAATAGTTAGAACTTGCAGTTGTATCATCATAGTTGTGATTACCATATTATCATAAAACATCGCATGAGGCAAAACATCATAAAAAAAAAAAATTTTTTTTATATACGAACTACGATGCTCATGTAATATCGTCATAAGCAAATGTCATCAACAAAAACTGAAAATGTCGAGAAAGAGAAAGGTTTATTAGTAAACTTATATATTTCTTTTATAGTTTATTCATTTATATTATATTATTGGAAAATTTTTTATTAAACTTTATTTGCTAAAATAACTATAAACCCTACAATCTTCTATATTCTGGACCATGTCTACTATCTACATCTTTAGTATTGTCTAAAACCAACTCATCCCAATCTATCCACTCCTCTTCTTCAAAATCTAAATCTATAAAGTTTTCTTTCTTCTTTTCAATAACAACTTTCTTATTATCTTTATCTTTTAACCTATACAATGTTATAAAAAAAATAAAAAATAATAAAAAAAATAATAAATAATTTTTAGAATTTTGCTAACTATAACCAGCAGTGATATCACCGGTGTTGTAATTAACCAATAAATTTGCTGGATCAGGTGTAACGTGCAAATTAGTTTGTATAACAAAAATAAAAAATTTTTTTAAAAAATGCCAATATCTCAAAAATTCATCTATAAAACTATCTTTAACATTCTAGTAAAAAAAATTTCTTGCTAACTTTTGCATATATCTAACACCTTGCTAAAATCCCAGACCTCGTCCTAACCCTAAAGTAGAGGAAATAAAGTTTTATTTTGTTTTATTGTTATTGACTAATTACAACACCGGTGATATTACCACCGGTTACAGTTAGTTAAATTCTAATTTTTATTGTTATTATCTCTTATTTATTTATTTATTTATTTTATTAATTCTTATCAAAGTTTACTTTTCTTCTTCTTCTTCGGAATCTCATATTGTCATAGAATTATCATTCTTAATTACAATAATGTCTTCTTGTTCTTCTTCTTTTTTACTTCTCTTATTATTCACTTCATCTCTATTTAATTATATATTATCATATTAGATTATATTATATTGTTACAGAATAACTTTATAATATTACACTAATAGTTTCGTAAAACAATACTTTATAATTTATAGTTTATATTTTAAATATAATTCTTGTTAAATTTGTATTGTATTAGAAATTATGAATATTTATAACTATAACCAGTGGTGATGATCACCGGTGTATAATTAGCCAATAAATTTGCAGGATCAGATATAACGTGTAAATTATTTTGTATAATAAAAATAAATATTTTTTTAAAGAAATGCCAATATCTCAAGAATTTGCCTATGAAACTACCTTCAACGTTCTAACAAAAAAAATTCCTTGCTAAATTTTGCAAATGTTTAATATCTTGCAAAATCCCAGACCTTACTCTAACCCTAAATATTTTTTTCAGTTTATCATTATTGGCTAATTATACACCAGTGATGATCACTTCTGGTTATTCTAAGTTATTTTCAGAAATTATATTATATTTAGAATAGTTAGAATAGTAGAGTATATGCCAGTGTATGCTATATGCCACTGTATACCATATACTACTGTATGCCATATATTAGTATGTGCCGTATACTACTGTGTGCTATATGCTACTGTGTGTCGCATACTACTGTGTGCTATATGCTACTATATGCCGTATACTACTGTGTGCCATATGCCAGTGTATGTCACTTGCCATATAGTTGTACTGTATATCAGTATATGCCACTTGCTATATGGTTGTATGCCAGTATATGCCACTTGCTACATGAATATATAATAGTATATCTTAGTACAACATACATGGTTGTATGCCACTATATACCAACCTAACAGTTATTTAAAGAAAAGCATTTTCCTCTTACTTTAACAGACATTTTTAGACATTTCCTAGACATCTCTAGAGTAGATAATAAATAGAAACTATTAAATACTCTTTGGAATATTGTTCTCTAAATATTTCTATAATATTCTCTTTGTTCTAACGACCTTGTAATGTCTTTATTGTCTCTAAATCAAGTAAATAAATCCTTCTGCTTAAACCTTCTCTCTTGCTCTTCTTAAACCCTTCTTTTAAAAGTACCGCTGTAACAATATATAGTTTTTTTTTTGGAATTTTTTTTGTAAAAAAATTCAATTAAGTTTTAATAAAGTTAGAGGTATAAACTCCTTAAAATTTAAAAAATTATACAAATATGCATGAAAATCATATAACTGATAAATTATCTATTTTTTAGTTCAGTTTAATTAATTGAACTAAATCTATATATTCAATATTAGCAATTGTTTAATAGTCTAATTAATTAATTTTTATTAATCTACTTATGATTATCTATAATAATTAATTAATCAAATTATATAAATTTCAAAAATTTAATTAATTTAATACTATTAAAAAACCAAAAAAAATCTTATATAAAAAAGCTTGCAAATTAATAAATATACACCAAAGAATTTATCACATATTTAAAAAATAAATAGATATATCCGTCCATAACAAATTCAAATTTTGCAAAATTTCTGTGCATAATAATTTTGCATTTTCTGCGCATTTCTGTAATAAATACAGTAATTAAACCATTTATATTAAAAATATATTTATTCTGCAGTTTTTTTTTATTAAAAAAAAATATAATCAAATTTGAATTTTGCCATTAAAGTATAAGGCCATACAAAATTAATTTTTTGTTTTTTCTCATAACATTAAATTTTAAAAATGACCCGGCCGGCGGCTTTTAAATTTTATATATAAAATTTTATAAAATTTTTAAAATATTTTTTTTGAAACCCCACCAGACTATTAAAACATATAAAAAATTTTTCTTCAAAAGTTTTCAAAATTTGACCCGGCCGGGTATTAATTAAATTTGTATAGCCTAATATATTTAAATTTTTAAATTTTATAAAGAATTTTTTGATAGATTTTGTCGATACTAATTATATTTGGAAAAGCTTCGCCCTAAACTGCACAAGAAACAGGCAACCAGTTTTTGCAACTTTGTCATGTTGAGTTAACGATAGTACCCGTAGTGCGCTGCCCAAAAGACACCCTTTTTGTAATACTCACCTTGTAAAATACCCAGGTATAATATATAGCGCAAATTATATAATTCTGGTAAAAATTAGAAATTTTGGCCCAGTAATGGTCAAGATACCCCGGGTATTTTACAAGTCTTTTGTTAGGGTATTTTGTTTTAGAGCACTACAGTATAACGATAATGATAAGCATGAGTACTACTTCACCTATTGATTTGATTGGCCAATATTCACGTTTTATTGACATGAGTTAGTCAATGAATATTATACTACATGTCCAAGTTCAATTCTGGGTACACACAATTTGATATACACACCATTTGACACAATTTGGTATGCGTAGCTGAATAACGTAATACGATCTTAACAAATCTGAAACAAATGCCCGTTTAAAATCGAGTTTTTCAAAATTTCCCTATCGTTATCGGGGGTTTTTTTTTTTTGTGAACGCGTTTTTACGCCTACGAAAACATAATCATTTTTCTTGTCATAATAAAACGTTTTTAAACTATATATGTAGTTTTAAATAAACAATATATAGACAAGAAATATTTCTTATATTTATAGTAGTAGTAGTAAGCAACAATAATAAAATTCTATATTGTTCAATTCTTAATGCTTTAGTATATTTTCATAATTTTCATAATTCTGAAATTGTTTCATATCATACAGCATATAAAATAAAATCTTAAATGAAAATGTCTTCATTTTGTTAAACATATAAATATAGAACTTGTGGATTCGGCAGATATATTTTGTTAAACATATAAATATAGAACTTGTGGATTCGGCAGATATATTTTTTTTTATACATATTTAGTTAGATAATCATAGATACGTAATACGTACGTACGTATGTAAAAGGTTACCGATACATAAACGAATTATTTATTCTAGTACGTATCAAAAAAATTTAATATAAACATAAATGTGAAATTAATTAGGTATGTAACATAAATAATTTGATAACCTTGGCGTAAGAAAAACTTAAAAGTGTTATCTTAACCAAGGAATTCGAACCAATCAGTTTTTAGCTAAAGAATCAAATCAACCAGACCCAAATCTATATACTGAAGAGTATTTAAAAATTGCGAACCTTCTTGCATTATAATGTAGCCAATTACATTATTAAACTAATTTCTTGATTTCTTAACAAGCTTTGTAAGAGAATCAAGAAATTTAATAATAAAATTTGGCTCAATTATTAATTATCCGGTAATTATCCGCTAATGATTCTTAGCTATCGATTGTATTCATAAAACCCATATGGGTTCACATCAAATAATGTCTATGATAAAATGTCAATATATTAATGATTCTTGATATGAGCCGGTTGTGTCATTCATGAAATTTCTTCCAACAATAACATCTCTCATTATCATCACATGATGATGAAACCTCTCAAAAAACACTTTAATTTGGACTTGATTTTTTATGGACATATATTTAGTCTTACACGTAGGTGCCACATCACTGGGAACTTTAAGAATAACACTAGTTTCAAAGACTGTATCAGGTCCCTTAGGTGTCATTATTATATCTTCTCCCTGAACTTGGTGTTTGGAATGTCGTTTATCTCGATTAATCGGAATAACTCCATAATCATCAATTGCATATTTGGTAAATGTTTTAAGGCACGCTACTATTTTTCGAATTCTAAGATCCGGATCATGTGATGTAAGTCGTAAATTAATCTTAAGTTCCGAATTGACATCAAAAAATGTTTTGGGAAGAATTGCTTCCCAACTAAGTGGTAGCTTTCGATCTTTGGCTCTAGATTTAATAACTAAAACTCTTAAATCTTGTTCATCAGGAATTGTCCATCTATAAATCGGTACTAATACTTCCACGCTTGATGTTTTCTTTTTAGGTTTACGATTAATAGTTGCTTTCAATGTATATTCAACTTTTCCATAATGTGTAACAAATGATTCAATTGCATCATCAGGAATTTGAAAATCAAATGGTAAATCTAAATCCGTTAAAAGTTCATGTCCTAATTCTGAAGTTGTTTGCCAAAGGTAAACACTTTTATTTACTATAATTTTTTCCGCTCTAATTTTTTTCAAATCTGCCCATTCGACAATTTCTCTGCCAATAAATGTAAGTGATATATTCTTTGCTTCAATCGCTTGTGGAAATCTTACGTGAAATGTCCCAGAAATTGTGGTTGAACTTATACCAAGAAATCCTTTTTGAAATGATGTATTTTCTGGATGATAAGAAAAAAACATTCGTTGGTCCGCTCGAACATAATCGCAAGGAAGTGGTGATGATACTGCAAACGCCATATTTTTTTGTTATTTCAATCGTTTATTATTTTTTTTATTTCAATTTAGAAACTTTTTATTTCATTTGGTTATATATAAGCGAATAATTTTGATAATTTTTTTCAAAACGCGACGTTGGTTCTTATATAGAACTTATTTCTCAAATTACGCATATAATCTTAATATGTCTAAATACATATATATATGTTTAGTATGACGTAATTATGACATTCATTATTACATATTTCTTAAATCTTAATAAGGTTAGTTTATAAAAAAAGAGGCTGCAAGATCATCATAGGAATGTGTTTTTTTCGGAGAAAGAAATCATCGGGCATTCGTGTAACTAACATTATTTCATTGAAAAATAGATATTTGTAATTTATTTCATTGAAAAATAGATATTTGTATCTTGAAATTTTTTCATCAATTTCACATTTTGGGCTGTTCAAAGACCCTGAATTTTAATTAATGAAAAATGATGTCATTTAGAAAAAGCCCAATGGGGATAGTGAAATGATATATTAAGTAATTTTTTGGCGATATAGAAATGAGTCGAAACTTTTTTCTATTATATAATACTAATTCATTAATATTTGTATATTACCGTTTTTTGTTTGAATTAAAAAGTTTCAATTAACTAAATAACCATCTTTTGATCAATCCCTTGATCAATCCCTTGATCAATCTTTTGATCAATCTAAGCCCAACCCAACCTTGGCTGATATTTATTACGACACTCGAAATTAATACACTTTCACACGATATTGATCTTGTCCCTATACAACATATATGCGTTATTGGGTATGAACTAGAATTTCATAGAATTATCGTCACTATTCTCTTAGTCTACCTTTTGAGAACTGGGAATTTCTCTCACGGTCTGAATAGTCCGAATAGTCCGAATAGTCCGAATATTTTCGTACCGCATTCATATCCCTATTCTAACACTAAAGTGTTAAAACACATCCCTATTCTAACGCTAACGCTAAAGTGTTAACCACATCCCAATTCTAACGCTAATGCTAAAGTGTTAAACACATCTCTATTCTAACGCTAACGCTAACGCTAAAGTGTTAAACACATCCCTATTTAACGCTAAAGTGTTAGACAGGCGCCTTTAATGTATATATATATATATATATATGTTAAGGATTATCAAATCATTATGGTGTATTGTACACAAAAACTATAAAGTCAAACTCTATAAAATTGTTTTATAGAAACAATACTTTAAATTGTACCTAGTTCAATAGTAAAAAATTTTGATTAAAGTCTTCTCTATATTTAGTTGAATGTATTATTTAAGCTATGCTTAGTAAGTAAATCGAGATAACAATCGGTTTTTCTGAATATTTTGGCAATACTGGTTTATCGAATTTCCTAGAACGTGTTAATGTTAATGATAACGTGTAACTGATCGACTGAGTAAGCGGTCGATCCTATATCGATAGGAGTTACACATTATCATTGAATATTCTCCAGGAAAAAAAAATTTCTACCGATCTCCATGAATTATCATTATCTATCAATGATATTAGAAAATTCAACGCCGTTATACTGTATTGTCAATATGATAATTGACTAAAAATAGCAACATGCGTAGGTAAATTGATCGAAAAAATAGGTGCGAAAATCTGATCTACGATTACACTGCTATCTATATATTACAGGTATTAGTAGAGATGGGGGATTACGGTACGATTCCCCGAAAGTTATTTACCCGACATCACATCACAAGGGTGACAAATTGCTAAAAAAATATATATACCTGCAGCTAATCCAATGCTACGTGTCGGTTAATAGCTTTCGGGGAATTGAGATGGGCACTATGCTTAATCGTCACATAATATAATTTATGTAAAAATTAACATCCGAAGTGATTTTCATAATTTTAATCATGTAACAATTAAACATCATGCTGCATAGTACCCATCTCTAGGCATTAGATACTCCATTTACACTCCAGATAATAATAATAATAATAATAATAATAAAAGAATTATTATTGGTAAAAACTTTGAATTATTTCATATTAAAAAAGTCTGAATAATTACCGTATGGCACTGCATACTGTACCCCTAAAAGTAACACCTTCATTAAGAGACAGTCTAAAGCCAGGTATATACATATATATATGGTTTTTAAATTTGATTACTTAAGACTTTAGGCGATCTCTTTATTAAGATCGGGTATTACTCATCACTCATATCACTCATTTGACTTAATTCTTGAATAATACCCAGGGTTACTTTCATATCTGATATAATATAAATGTATTATCTCCCAAATACAGTACTCCGAGTACTTTATTGTAATGCTATACGGTATAAATAAAAATTTGATTCATGCAAATATGCAAATATGCAATATGTAAATAATAAATAATTTACATATCTTTGCATTATTTATACAGTATATACAGTATGTTGTGTTATTTTTGAGATATTATACTGTATTACATTATACTATATTATAATAAGTATTCTGTAATTAATATTTAAAAAAAATCTTTTACGTAGAACTTTATAATTTATTAAATTTAGTTTTTAAAAATTTATTACGGAAAAATCTTATTAAAGAACATACTGTAGTAAATTATATGTTTTTTTTTTAGATACAGTGCATACGTATAATTTTTATCAAGATTAATAACTTTTTTTTTTTAATATAATTTATATCAAGAACCTAGATTCTTAATTAATTATATATACAAAAATATTAAAATTCTTTTATAATTTTATTTTTTTATTTTTCTAATATTATATGACTATAGTTTATGCATATTGTTGTAGCTTAGGCCACTCCAAATTGATTCTTTGTTTAACATAATATTAAATAATTCATAAGATTGGGGGGAGGGCGTGTAAAATACACAAATTAAAAAAATACAGCAATTCTATTGGCTGTAAAAATATAAAAAGCTAATACTGCCATTTGATGATATGTATTTTTTTTATAAAATTTGGAAAAAAATAGGGGTTCTGTTAAACAAAAAATTAAATTGGTCTGGCCTTAGTTATGAAACAGAAAATTATGTCCAATAGATCTTTATTATAACTGATAAAGCGCAATTGAGATAATTGAGATGTAACTAGCGACATAACATGTTTGCATCTATGCTTATAGACATCATGCTAAATAGCACCTCGCCAATTAGTCCAAATTATGATAATACGTATACGTATATACGTATATATGTCGTACCCAGAATTGGAATTCGTCAGATTCAGAATTCGGCTGTCCTAATTCAGCCCAGTTTTGGAATTCTTTATGCAGTTACCCGACTTCATAATTAGTAAGGTTAGGGTTAAGGTTAGTGTATTAGTATAATTGTAATTACTAAGCCGCGTACCCTGCTCAAAGAATCCCAAAACTGGGTAACCCCGATTCTGAATCAGGAATGCTTGATTCTGAATCAGGCGGATTCAAATTTGTGTCAGATCAAAATTTTAAATTGATTATTTTTTTTAGCAGTCAGCCGTGATGTCGTGCAGATCATTTTTAATATGGTGTCAAATGATTGACGCACCTAAATTTTATATGTAAAA